CAATTTAGACCACTTGTGGAGCAGTCCAGTGATCACATGGCAAAATGCGCTACAACACAACCCTGATCTGTGCCAAAGCTAGACCTTTTTGGTCCAACTGTGGAGCCTCTACTTTTGGGGGCCAGACTGGAGTGATTCCCAGGCAGACAGAAGGCTCACTTTAAGGGAGATCACTCCAGTTAAAGCAGCTCTTCCTGGTGTGATAAGGCATGAACCTTTGTATGTGTCTGATTGCAACCTTAGTTAGAATTACGACTTCTATCACCTTTCCTATCACATGTGTAACTCTCTAATAAGCACAAGCTTTCCTATTTTCTTAGAAATAAGCGTGCATATGATTCCTTTACAAAGGGAGAAGTGAGCTTGAGTAATCATTTGGAGTTTCAAAGGGCTGAAGCCATAAGCAATATCATTTTGTGCCTCTGCAACAGAAATTGCCTTCTAATATTTTCCTGAAAAATATGGTGGGTGATCAGAATTTTTTCTCATGTCATTTTCACTATGTAAATTGCCTCTATATCCCTACTCATGCTTCTTATTTGCTCTGTGGTTGAAATACAAGTATATACACAGTATATATAACGTGCCTGTAATTAACACACTGTCTGCAGATGAAATAACAGCTTGTGAGAGGTAGTGATTTAGATCAGGAAATTGGTGTGGGAGAGAAAGCTTGAATGTCTCCCAGTTCCTGTTCAAATTAGCAGACCATCACCACATATGCAGAGGGAATACTGATAAACAATCCACAGATATCCCCGTGAATTACTGTATATAAAAGGCCTATTTTATACCCCAAAAGAACCTTCCTATATAAAGAGCCTTTCCCCCTTAATCTGTATGTCAGCGCTTTAGCTGCCACCACCATTTGTTTCCTTTTTCACTCAAACTCATTGTTCATTGCATGGATTTACATTAGATAACACATGGGAATAACAAATAGCTGCTTGATCAAGAATGTAAAGAGTGAAATACATTTATACGTATATTTACATGTTGGAGTTATATATAGGGTGTCTTGCAGTGGCTTGCAGGGATTAGCTGTATGGGTTTGTTTGTAATTTGAGGAAGCTGATGTATATAAAATGGATTCCTGAGAATCCCTACATTTGTTTTTAAAAGCAAGATAGCTAAACCTAAGGCTGAGCTCCCAGCGAGCCTCAGTTCCCATTAAGTCCTGCAAATCACCTGTCACAGTGGCCCGGTTGCAGAACCAAGAAAATCAAATATGAAATAAATCTCTTTTTTCAGAATCAGCAGCAAGCACATGGATGGTGTTGGAGGAAAAGATTAACAGACTCAGAAAATAGGCTCTCACAGCAGCTTTCCAAACAAACAAGATCAGGAGCAGCATTATGGCAAGTGTTGGGGACTCAAGTCCAGGCCCTCAGCATGCCACATAGTAGGGTAAGTAGCAGCGTGCACTACCAGTTAAAGAGCATGGCCCCTGTATGATCATTGACTCCAGAGCTCAGAATTACCTTTCTGCCTGAGACTGCATCTGTCTAATGCATCTCTGGGTAAAAGAAGGAAAATAAGTAGAAGGAAACACCTGCACACTCTCACGAGAAAAGGAAAATGGATGGACATATTGACAGACACTTATACCTTTCCAATCATCTGCCTAAAGGTCTGAGATTTTGTGGCAGAGGGAGTGAGCTGAAAGGAATGGGAGTCATTGCATAGCCGCCAAACATAAGCCTAAAAAAAATTATAGTTGTTTACTGACTTATTTCAGTAAACAACTATAATATTTTAGACTTAGTGAATGACTGGGAAACATTCCTGTTCCTGTATCTCTCTGCAAGTAATATGACAAGAGACTTTTCCCCTCTTTTTTTTTTATTTTAAGTTCCATAGTCAATTTATCATTTAATGCAATGTCCCATACTTCACAATACCAGTCTTCAATTTTAATATCCTTCTTGTCTTTCCAAAATCTAGCTATTAATATTCTAGCACCTGTCATAAAATTAGTGATTAATTCTTTCGAGTGATGGTCCAGATCTGTATTATCAAAAATTGACAATAAAGCAATTTTGGCATTAAAATCAATATCTTTACCAAATATATCACACATTTCCTTAAAAATCAATTCCCAAAATTTCTTAAAATAAAAAGAGGGGAAATAAGATGTAACAATTTCTATGATATTTGGGGTAAATTTGTGGAATGTGTGTTAGTGAAAGGAAGGGGGAAAGCCTCTAAAGAATACTCAATACAATTTTGGAGAGGTAATCTGTAAGAAAAAAATTATTATAGTAAATAGAGTCCCGTGGGTATGGGGTGCACATTAGAATTTAGTTTATAAAAAGCCCTATTACTTGTATTTTTTTGTATTTTTGTTATGTATGTAAAAAAAAAAAAAAAAACAAGAGACTTTAAGCAAAAACAGTTCTAATGTTAATCTGCTAATGAAAATCATATTTTTGTGAAAAATTTTAAAAGGAAATAGGAGTGTGCAGCCCAGATCTAGACTGACACTTTAATAGCTGCAAAGAGTTATAGGTTTTCCCCATTCTGTGGTCCCTACAGTACCCAGTATGGTGTGTAGTGGATAGAGTGATGGTTTAGGACTTGGTTCAAACCCCAGCTCAGCCATGAAAGCTCACTGAGGGTATGGAAGTGGTATAACCACTCGTGAAATATCTAATCTATCTTAAAAGCTCTATTAGGCTTGCTATAAGGCTTGGTTCTGACTTTACAGCACATAAAAAAGAAGTGGTAAAACCACTCCTGAAATATCTAATCTATCTTAAAAGCCCTATTAGGCTTGCTATAACGCTTGGTTCTGACTTTACAGCACATAAAAACAAATGGTCTGGATCATTGAAGGTCTCACAGAGCTGCAATCTCTTTACAATTTTCAAAGAATTAGCTGTGTTAATTTGTGTAAGCGTATCTAGATACAAACAGAATAAACAACAACAATATCATGGAAACTAAAGCCTGTTATATTTCAGCATGAGTTTCTGTGGATATATCTACTTTGTTGGGTATATCTGATGAAGTGGGTTTATCCACAAAAGTTTACATAGAAATATTACAGCTGATATTTGAGGTGTCACTATGTTTTTCTTTTATTTCTGCCTTAATCTGATTACAAAAACCATCAATGCAATTACTAATTGTGTTCATATTATGTTAGTTTTGCTGATTCTGTTAAAGAAAGGAAGAAAATAAAGTTCAGAGAGGGGCCTCCAGCTTTGCCTCTCCCTGAAAGCTGCACACCTTTCTTACTTGTTCTGTCTGTCTGGCACAGGGATGGCTGTGGTGACCCACATGTTCTGCAATAGACACTTTACACAATTTCAGAAGACACCTTTTAAATCAATACATACATGTAGAGATTTAACCCCCCCCCAAAAAAAACCCCAGACCTAATAGGAGAAGCTTGGCTTCTGAAGCTTTGGGCAGGCTCCAGAGCCCAGAAGTTGTCACCTGTACCTCACACAAAAGGTGATAACTTTAAATCATATACTCCAGTGTTATAACCTGTAGGATAGGCCTGTCTTCAAGTATAGCATACTCTGTAGCACAGGAATCTGGGAGCGATGCTAGCAGCCGCAAAAGGATTATCCTTCATTAGCAAGAGATAATCATGGCATCAGCAGTTTTTGCATGCAGAGTTCTCTACTTAAGCCTGACATAGCAAGAAGATACCAAAACGGAGGTACTGAGGCTTGGGTGTATTATGTTCCACTAGGTTGCATCCTACTTATGGCCACCATGTCAGGTAGTTTTACCAATGCTACCCACACCCAATGCTCTGCTTGGCCATTTTCCATGGCCAAGCAGAGCATTGAACCCAGGTCGTTGAGCCCCACCATGTCATCCTGTTCACTACATCACAGTGGCTGGTATCAGCCTTAGTCCATATCAAAAGCTAATCAATTGGGTGGTGGGGAAGATACATTGTGTTTGGTTTGTTTGGTTTTAAACTAGCAAGGATAATATGTATAGGGATGATGTACAAGAATATACACTAATGCATAGATAATCATAAAGATTTTGGACATCACAATTACATTGTGCAGCAGGACCCTGTATAGCTGCTGGCATTCCATTCTCAGACATTTCTGTATCACCGCATGCATGCTATTCTTTCTGATGCTGCATGTGTTAACTGTGCCATGTGCTGTATCACATGGAACCACTGGGCTGGAATCTGCTTACTAGTGTCCATTACACATGTGGGTGAATTATGGACTGCAGCCTACAGTGCAGGTCTCAGAAGCTTTCAGCACAGCCCTTCCACACCCTACAGGTGCTCAAGCTCCTACTGAATTCTCATCCCCATGGTCCAATTCTCCCATGGCTACTTTTCCCCCCATCTCACAACACATGCTGGTATTTGAAAGCAGAAGGGTGCACGGACATAACCCATCCCATATGCCACTTTCTGCATGCAAACTAGATTTCCAACAGCTATTTGATGGTAGAATTTTGTGCATAGAAATGATTAATGCTCTGCACCCCATAAACTTTTCTCCCCACAAGTATGTGTCTGGGATTGAGAAATAGGGTCTACAAGAGTGTGAATGGAGGGAAAGATATATTTGTAACTGTATACGAAGGTTTGTATGTGTGAATCAGGGGAATGTTTGAGAATTTATGTGTAAGAATCAGGAGAATGTGAATAAATGGGTTTGGGTATGTGAAAACATTGGCCCACCCCAGGCCTCAGCCCCTTGAGGCTCTGTCTACTCCCACTGATATGCGGACTCTGAAACACCACTGAGTGCCACAAGTAGTCACGGGGTGGAGAAGGTTACTTTGTTCAAAGCACAGCAGCAGAAGATAAGTGGGATACAGGTGTGGGCAGGTGAAAAGCAATCGAGCAGAAGAAAGGGCTTAGCAAGATGAGTACAGCTTACAGGGGAGGATTTTATAGAGGAACTAGGTCAAGATTATTAGGAGTGTATATTTATGAGTGAAAGAGAAAAGGAGAGAGGGAAGAGGGAAGAGAGGGAATGGAAATTATTAAAAATATAATTTACCTCCAGGCAGCTCTGCAGGTCCGCAGGTGGCCCTCTCCTCCTCCACATCATTCATCCAGAGCTTCTTGTAGCAGAACTTCCACAGGCCGTAGTGGGCAGCCTCGCAGATGGCGGAGTGGTTCTGCTTGTAGGTGTTGAGTTCCACCCAGAATTCTGTGCCCACAGCCAACACCGTGAGGGTCATCCCCACAATGGCGACAAAGAAGGCCAGCTTGATCTTGCCCTCTTGCTCATCTGTCAGGACTTTGCGCCGCTTGACAACTACCCGCCCGCGCATTGCCATGCGCTGCTCCTCATCTTGAAGGAAAAAATTTGGCCACATATTCATAGCCCCTTTTCCTGATGTCCCCTGTTTTCACAGGGGATTTTGTTCATTCGTTTGTTTTTCCCAGGAAATAGCTACCTTGATCTTTCTTTGTATGTAGTGCCCCAGCAAGCTTTCAGTCTGGTCTTCGTCAAAGGCTTCTCACAGCTTCTCCTAGGTCTTATCTAGGTCAACACACTGCTGTGCTGAAAAGTTGCTTGACCACTCTCAGTCCACCCTCGCCTGCTCCACCCAATGCCCCAACTTGACTGGGTGAGGCTAGGGATGGAACAGCAGCTACCTCTGCACCCGCTCCCTGTGGCCTTGGCAAATGTATGGAGCACCTGTTACCGTTCTTCATCCATTGCCTAGGCAATCAGGGTTATTTTAAGGCTGCAGGGTGCACAGACAGTCTGGATGTGTATGTGCAAGCACTTGCGCCTGACAGTTTTAAAGATATAGAGGTCAAAATTGAAAACTCCCTTGTTGGCCAAGCAACAAGAGGCTGTATTGCCCTGGCTTCTCACAGCATCCCCTGCTGGTTGTAGAATTTTTATCAGCAGAACATGCCTTGTTGCAAAATATGTGAAGGATCACCTCTTCTGGATCCACTCTTCTGCTGAGCAGCATTTGTATTTCTCAGAAACAGCAACTATGGCAGAAGCAGAAGTTGACAGTTACCTTTCTTGGGTGTGTGTGTGTGGACTGCACTGTATTCCCAGGAGATACTGGGAATTGTAGTACTAATGTTAACTTTTCTTAGTTCTGACATTACAATGGTTTATGCTGTTAAGTAGTTTATGCTGCTACTTACGACTCCCATTAAAAGCAAAAATATAACTTCTTTCCAAGCGTGTTATACTTCCTTATTCTGTACTCAAAATCAAGTTAAATTTACTTGCTAAAAATATTAGTCAACACAACAACGATTTATTATAATCCATTTGAAGAATGCATTTTCCCCATAATACTGAATACCACTTTGTACAATAAATGTATATGTAATCTGTTGGGCAAACAGTGGAAGTTGGCATGTAATTTATTTACTCTCACCAGGCAATCAGAATCAGTTTTTCTCCCCTGCTACTCAGAAGTGAAATTGTCTTAAGATTATTTCTGAAAAACCTGTCCCTTGGGGAATTTCAGATAGCAAAACAATACTTAAGAATCAATATCTGTGTTATTCACAGAGATAAAACTTGCTTGAGGGCTCTTAAGACTTAGTTAAACCATGGATATCCAACAATGTAGGAGTATTAAACAGCACTGGCTGATCTTACATGTTCATTATAAGGATTAGAGAGGGAATGCATGCAAAGTACTTTGAATATGCTGTAAATAGTGTTATGTAAACAATGGTTATTATTGTTGATGTTGGTCAGCATGACTGCTCCACTTCTATGTAATGACCTCTCTGACCCTGATCCCCGCATGTGGCCAAAGCTCCCCCAGTTTTACCACCCTCAGTTGCCCAAATATTTTCTGCTTTCTCAAATGTGCCCATCACTACTACTCCAGCTATGTGGAATTGCTTCCCAGAGCACCTGAGTGAAAAGCTACCTCTCTTAGTTCTTTAGAAGCGTATACTGAGCTAGACTATTAATTATTCTACTGTTATACTGTTGGAATTGTTTGTCAGCTGCTCTCTGAGATATAAGCAGAGCCTTGGAATACTAGTTTCGTATAGTAAAAAACCCTAAAATGCCCAACTTTACATCTGAGACAGCTACCATATGCAGACTCCGGGACTTCTGTATGTGAAACATAAGTTTCACCAGTCAGCTATTCAAAATCTGCTTAAGGATCCCTTTAATCTGACACACAACTATAAAAGGTCAAACTCTGCTTCATATAATATGGAGTGTGCTCAGAAGTAAACATAGGGTCACCTAGAAGAGACTGCAGAACACAGGGAGGGATGATTAAATCCAGATTTTTCGCAGCCGTGACACCACCAACACATTCATTGGTGGTGATGAGAGGTGTTTTTTTGGTTCATCTGTTTACTCTCTCTCTCTCTCTGTCTCTGTCTGTGTGTGTATGTGTGTGCATGAGAGAAAGAGAATACAGTATATACTGTGGTCAAGTGACAAGATCAGAGGAGAGGGGCACTCCCAAAATTTGGGATGCGATGCCCTGTCCATGTCTATGAGCTACCTGCACTATGGTCTCCCTCCCGATTGTCCTATGCTTATGTCTGAGTAAGAAACGGTGAAAAAGGAGAGAAGCCAAACAAAAAGCCTAAGGAGCCACATGCTACCTATAATTTTATGTTAAATAGATAGCATACTTACATTTTATGAACTCTCTGTGTAAATAAATAAAGCTGTATTGCTCTCCTGTTTATGTTCTACTTTCACTGTTCCCTCCACTGTCTGTGCTGAGCAAAACATCATAATGGATTTCCTCATGATAAAGAGTTATATTTTTCTATTTTGTAGAATGCCACACACATTGATAGGACTGTTTGTGGTTTTTGTAAAGGGACCTAAACATTGATAATTATGAAACAAGGGAAGGAAGAGAGAACAAAAGATGTTGCTATTCAAAGAGCCTATAAAGTTATCTTTAAGAAGAATATAATTACTGTACATGCAAAAGCTGTTCATAACTAAGCAGGATTCTGTGTTCCAGAGCATCTATCCAGTCATTACTATCCAGTCATTAGCAATAGCCATGCATTATTATCTTCCCTCACCTTGAAAGTCATTTTTTAAAAATTCAGGATTATGGTGGCAACATTGTACCAATTAGTACTAATGGGCTAAAGTAGACAACAGAATTAACATGTCATTAGAAACAGAGCTCCTTTAAGAAGAAAAGACTGTCTGTTGATTCTAACACAAACTTGTCTTAATTTGTATTTGGCAAACTAGCCAGATTTTGTTTTGTAATTTATCATCCTTTGCATGTCTGATTTTTCATAGACATAACTAAAAGATTTATGTACCTGGATGGGTAACATTCTAAGAGAAGAAAATGCACATTTGCCTTAATGTGTGAGCTGTTGAGAACTGAAGAAATAATCAATCTGAATTAATGCATTTGAAGAAATGTGCTGCAGTTTGTGAAAACTTATGCCAAATAAGACCTGTTAGTCTTTTAAGGTGAGAGTCAGTATGATGTAGTGGACAGAGTGTTGGAATAGGACTCAGGTTCAAATCCCTGCTCAGCTATGTAAGCTTATTGAGGCTTGGCAATGAAAAACCACTCTTTGAACATCACACATCTGAAAAACCTTACTAGGGTCATCATAAGTCAGGAGCAAGTCAACTGCACACAAGAACAACAGCAACAGTTTGAAGGCCCAACAAAACTCTTTGACCAGAATCCTATTGGTGTTTCATAAGGTTTATGTAACTTACTGTGTCTGTTTGCAGCTAATTGATGAGGTCCTGGGCTGTGTTTCAGTTGGGTGCTTAGTTATACACCTGGTTGCACAAGCAAGATGCACCCCTACACATTATGAGCTAACTCAAATGAGCCACAGGAAGTTTCATAAATCTTATGCAAACACCAATAGGATTCCAGCTTTTGTTTTTGCTGAGACAGAACAGACAAACACCATTATTGCTCTGGAAAGCATCTGACTCAACAGTAGTGCATGCATAAAGTAAAGTATCTGCTGTTCTTAGTGGCTGATAACTGGTTTTTTTCCCCACTATTGGTTTTTGTAGTTTCAAAATTGATTTGCATCCTCTCATCTCTTCTAATTACAAATTCGAGTGGCTTCAGGGACATTATGGAATGTGGTGGTGATGGCTGTATAGAAGAAAAGAAAGAAGATATAGACTTTTGAGGCTTTTGGGTGAGGAGGAAGAATGTCCTAAAAGAGAGTAGTGGTAAGGTTGAGGAATAGCTGCTGCCAGATTAAAACAAGCCCAGCTCTTTGCACCCTACAGGGATACTGCAAAAGGAGGGGGGAATTCTGCTTGCGGAAACATGCCAGACACCTGCTATAAAGCTCCAAAATACTTAGAAGTGGAGCTGGGTTAAATAGGGCTAAATAGTCCCACACAGTGTGTGTTTCAACATTTCTCAGAGGACAGAGTAGTGTGTGTTTACACAGCTTTTCTTGCACTTCCAAAACTGGATTGCTGCCCTTGTGTCCCAGTCTAATGTTAAACTAAGGTTCAGCTCCAGCCCAGGTGCCGTCTGTAGATGTAATGGTGTACACATAAAGGGAAGCCATTTTGTTCTTTGCCTCAGACAGCTAAGTGAATCGGGCTGGCTCTGCAAATACGAGACAATAACTGAGCATACATACACACGTGCTGTACATGTGCACAGTAATCTTTAAACCTGTTTGGGAGAATTTGTCCATTGCTGAGGGCCTGGTTTTAAATTCTTTTTTTAACTCTTCACACTTCATTTGGGAATACTGGGAAGTTCTGTTTTTCCCCACAAGGTTTGAATATACAGCGTACAAATATCTTCAGCTAGCTGTTGTTTAATAAAATGTCTTCAAACACAGAAAAGCATCCCACATAACAAGTTTGCCAGGGTTGCTAATACAACTGTAGACCTAGAATCATCCTGGCCTGTGAGATAAGAGATGCAGGCTCCATATACTTCTACTAATTTCTCCCACAGACTGAAATATTTCTCTTCAAATTGAAATCAAGTATGGATAGGATGAATGATTTCTGGGCTTGCCTCTTAGACAGTACACAATAGTGAGTAGTCATATTTTGGCTATAGCCAGATTGGCACAAGCCAAATTCAGCAGTGGCAGGAATTATGGCAGTGCTCTTCTTTTTCTAAAGGCCTCGTGGTTGCTTAGCAACAGAAGTGAGGTACTGGTTCATGGATTGCCCAAGGTTTCCTTCTGTTGGCCATGAAGGAGATTTTATTTAAAACAAAACCTATATTTTAGACAAGCAATAAAAGGAAGTCTCTGGGATCTGAGGATTCAGACCCGAAGGTGTTAAGTAAAATCCGCAGAGGGCAAAGATTAGCATTTTGAAGATGTTCATCCATGCAGCTGCAAGCAGTCTGAAGCATCTGGTGCCACTTCCCCCCCCAACGGGAGGGGGGAGGGAATCTACTGCTCATAACAACCTAATTGAGGAAAAAGCTCTGAGTTAGCATAAAAAGGCAGCTGTCGCATGAGAAAGTGTTTGGTAGTGGAGGAGAAGCTATAGGGTGTACTTCCACTGCACTGCAGGGGATGAGATATAGGTTCAGCACTAGGGTGGACGTGCCACAAAGGGGGGTGGGGAGGAGGGAGATCAAGCTTGTTGTCTTCACATTATTTACATCCTAGGTGGGGATACCGCTTTTCAAGCCTACACAGTATGCTATATGACTTCTGTTGCCCTGGCAACAAAGTAGGCTCTAACACATTTTTCATGCTGCAAAATTACTGATGGCAGCTGATGTCATCTAAGAGGAAATTCCCACATTTGGGGAAATAATTAGTATAGATATACAGTACATGTGTGTGTGCGCGCGCGTGCGCGCGTACGCGTACGTACACAGAGAGAGAGAGAGAAAGAGAGAGAGGGAGAGAGGGAGAGAGAGAGAGAGATGGAGGTATATATATATATATGAGCATCCCAAGCACATCTGTGACTGACCACTGATCAGAAACAGTTCTTCAGCAGAGGTATTTCATAATACACTAATAACATTTGAATTGCAGAGCTGGAAGGGACCCTATGGATCATTGAGTCTTGCCTCTCTCAAGGATGTGCAGTGGGGAATTGAACTCTCAGCCTCGACACTAAGCCGCTGAGGTATCCAGCATCACTTGCAATATGATGTGCTTTTTTTTCCTAGTGAAAGTGTTAGGAATTCAACATGAGGGTCTTTCGAACAGAAGACATATGCTCTACCACCAAGATATGGCTCATGCCTACATTGAGTTAGAATGGTAAGGAACAAAGAATGATTCTCAAGCCATTATAAATGGCAGTCTTCCTTTATGTCCTCCAGAACGTGCTATATGGGAATGATGGGAGTTGTATTCCAAACACATCTGAAGGGCCCAGATCTGAGGAAGCTCAGACTACACTTATTATATATTTTTCCTATATCAAGGCAAATAAGCTTTGGGATAGGAAATAATACGTATATTAAAGATTAAAGCTGATTCCCATGTTGCAGGTTGGAGTTACAGATACAGTAAACTGAAACAAAACCCTGCCTGTAGTATACTCACAGAGCTAAGAACTCAGTAGGAGTTATCTTTGAGTAGATATGTGAACAATGCTAGTGTTAGGGAAATGCATCCTGACCCTCAGGTAAGAACTCAACTAAATCTTTACCTAGACCCTCAGTAGTTGCATTTGTCACATAAGCATCATCATGAAGGCTTGACATTTCTGTGACTGTCACTGTTAGTAGGAGGCAGGCTTGTATGCTCATTTCTTTTTTCCTTTATTTTCAAACATGGCTATTGGTCTTATGTCTTGCTTTTGTGTGTCACAGAGGCATTTGACTGGCCACTATGGGCAACAAGATGACCTTCGGTCTGATCCTCTGGGATTCTTGTGTTCAGCTTTAATGGACTGAAATCAGAGATGCACTTGGAATGCCTATAAGTGCTCAGATGTACCAGGAGACCAGGGGGCAAAACTTTCAAGTGCACTTACTTTATGTATTAGTCCCTTAACAAGTGTGTGAACATCATGGGAAGAGACATTGCAAACAGCTTGAGATAAGAAGAGGGAATTCTTTAAATGCTTAAATCCTCCAACTGCACAGCAGGAGCTTTTCTCAGCTCTTATCGTTTGTAAATTAGCTTGCCTTATCTTCTGATGGGTCTTAAGACTTCAGGATGGGATTCCTTGGATGTTCTTTTAGATGTGTAAGGCAGCCTGAATCACATATCTCCAACACTAATGCCTTTTCAGATCCAGTAATGGGCTATCCTTACTGTCAATTTCTACCAGCTTTCCCCTGCTTATACTTACATATGCTGCATAAGGCTGATGACACCATCGGCCATGGGTTGTTTAATGTAAATTAAAAATATCTGAACCTCCCCTTCCAAAAATCCCAAGGCTCTCTTGGGATCCTTTGCATTATGGGGAAGTCATTGGAACCTGCAGAACCAGGGAGGACAGTCTTTAATTTCCCAAGAACTGCTGCTGCCAGTACAATCATGCTGTCTGTAGCAACTTCCAAAAATCAAAGACTACCACCTGTCTCACAGCCTACAATAGCTTACCTAGCATGAAATGATTCTCAAGGGAATCTCTGAAGCTTTGGAAGGGGGGATTGAAAATGATTAATTTACAAAGAAATTCTGGGCTGATGAAATTGTCTACTCTACACAGTGTAAAGTTGCACATGAATTCAGCCATTGTCTCCATTTAAGATATAGTGGCACCAAAAGGTGTAAGAGAGATAAGGATCAGAGCATAGGTGAGAAACCTACATATGATTTGCCATCACTCCACTCACTCACATTTTTCCCTTGTACTGTACAAAGTTAGGATCACACTTTTTCAAAATTCTCCGAATGCAGTCTTGGCATACTTTTTGTGTGGCTGGGATCTTCTCTGGAAAACAGCACAAATGAGTTGGTTTCTCTTAGATGGAAAATGTAGTCCTTCTGTAGTCCCAATGTTCACCTTTTCCTTCAATAACAACCTTCCCTGAAAATATTTTCATAGGACTTTATTTGAAAGATAAATTCCAGTAAAAATCCATGCATTTTTGTTGTTGCTATTATGACAGACACATTGTTGTTGTTAACTTATTTGTATTGTTTCTCCATGTTTCTTTTCTTTTTCACTAGTAAGTAGCACAATCACTGATTTTGTTTAAAAAATGTTCTTGTATTTTTAATTTTCTCTCTTTTTAAAATACGAAACTCACTTTATACATACAAACCTAGAAGAGGTGTAGCTTCTCCACTGATTTCTCTCTCAAATTCACTTGGCACATTTTAAAATTTTCTTTTTTTCAAAGATTTTAGAATGTTTGATCCTCTCATTGCCACTAAAAATGAAGGAAAAATCCCACTCTTCTCTAATTCTACATCCCACCTCCAAAAATTTATTTATTTTCATAAAACAAACATGAAAAAAATACTACTTAGAAGGCTAGAAGAAACAGTAAAGAGACAATCACAGTTTCTAACTGTATTTTTAGACATGGCTTCCCATATAATTAGCTACTGAAAGAAAATAACATATCTGTAATGAACATCTTGACAAGCAGTATTTCCATTACCCAAACATTTAATTGTTTAAAAGTTTTAGTTAATCTCCATTGCCATATGGCTAAGTCAAATCCCATTATATGCAGAAGGTCTGAAATTCTGCATTGATTGTTCTCAGAGCTGCAATCCTAAATATGCTTACTACAGAATAAGTCCAAATGAATGCAGCAGGGCGTACTTCTGAGTAATTCTGCAACCAGAATTCTATGCCCAGAATTATGACAGTTTAAAAGGCAGACAGTAAACATGCTAATATTCTCAGAACTAATTCCTACTGCATCTAATAGCAATTACCCTCTACTAAGGTGGCAACAGCCTAAATCCATTTGCTTGGCTATACAAGTTGGTTTGTGTTTGTTTGAATGTATTTTGCAAAATCTGTAACCTTCTCTTCCATAGTTTTTCTCCTTCATGGAAGGAGAAGTGGGCCTCTGACCAGTGTTCCAATCAGGTCATTTTAAGACTGTGGGTATAACAGTCTTCCACATGTGCCTCTTCTGATGGTAATGTCTATTTGCATTACTTTGCTTTCTTTAAAATGCAGTAAGCTAGCCCTGATGTGTTCACGGACCTTCTTGCTTTTTCTGACGAATGGGGCCCTGAATCCTGACAGCGCCATGGACTTGAATGGCCCTGTTGAATTTTAATATTTCGTTTTTGCAATATATGCAATATTTCATTCTGCCTTCTCCTTCTCTCCTTCTCCTCTACTTCACTCCCCATTAATTGGGTTAACTTTGTTCTTTTGGTAATGTGCATTCTTTAACCCTCCCTGAGTTCATGTTTTAGGGTCATTATAAAAATAACAATAATGAAATAGAACTAATCCATACTGCCAGGCGTTACACATAAGGTCAGTCTTATAAATCCTTATACTGCATGGTTCCACATCTGTTTTTGTTTGTTTGTTTGTTGTTTTAAGATGCAGGATGTGAATGTAGGGAAGTAGTAAATTAACATTTTTTTTTCACTGGAGGGAGTTTGTGTTGGGAAGGGGGCATGTATAAATTCTGCATTGGTACACATGGAACCCTGACTTTATGCAGAGCAAAAATTGAATCCAGTGGATTGGCAGTGAGGATTGGCAGATCTGTTTCTACACCTGCATGGTAAATAAAACAGCATTCTGGGGATAAAGTTTCAGAAAAATCTTTTCTAGTAAAACTGTTTTGTAGAATTGTTGATCAAAGAAGAGAAAAAGAAAGAAAGAAAGAAAGAAAGAAAGAAAGAAAGAAAGAAAGAAAGAAAGAAAAGAAAGAAAAGAAAAGAAAAGAAAGAAAGAAAAGGTAAATTAACCGAGTCCAAAGACATATCAGAATATTTTTCTTAGTCTCTTGATAAATATCTCTCTTCCTCTGTGTCTTTCTTGCTCTATCTATCTATTTATTTATCTATCTATTTATTAATTTATATATTTATATATTTATAGTACATGTAAAAATTCTCCCTAGGAAGCTGATTCGGGGGGGGGGAGGTAGGGATGAGAAGTATTATCCACATCTGTTGCCTCTTCATTTTCAAGTTCTTCTTCCAGATAATGAAAAGAAGATGCAAGGTAGGGAAACCTATTGAAACTCTAATGGATAAATGACACAAAGAAATTAAATCAACAATAACTGATTAAATATCATTTAAAAATGAGCAAGAGATAACTGTTTAAAAGAGCAGAAACCTCCTCCTCCCCAGAAACAGCTTCATTTCAGGAAGAGCTATGGCTCAGTCATGACTAGAGAAGGCTGAAAACCAAAAAGACTTCAGTCAAAGATTGGAAGGAAAGAAAAGTGGTAAAAGCCTAGAGGATTACAAATACTTCTGGCAACCACTAGGGGGCAATAGGTCCTTTTGTATTTTCAAAACTCCCTCCCTTTTATTCCCCCCCCCCCACACACTGTGTTTTGGCACAAACTCTTGTCAGCCCTTAATTAAGCTGCAGTGGAGGCGAAGAGAGGGTTCCCTTATACCTGCTGAGGAACAAACACTCTCTTGATCCACACTGCAGCCTTAAATTTGGCACAGGACACTGTGACATCTTAAAGGAGGCTCATTATGGAAAAGCCAGGAGTTCTGTCTATACACACACTGCTTTCAACCCTTATTCCTCTTTTGCAGAATCTAGGAAGCCTGGCTAGCCCCTGAACATCACAAGGAAGTAGGCAAGATAAACTTTCCATCTTCCTAAGAGCTGCACCAGCAGCCTTCTCATGTAGTCCAGTGTGGAGAATATCCAGCCTTGTTATCCTCAAAGTTCTGCTTGAAAGGATAGTGATGCTTGATTCATTTTGCTTGAACTGGGTAGTAGATATGTTTGATCCCTGCCACATTTTTCATGAGAGCCTCCCCCACCCCACATGAAAGTACTCTTTTTGTGTTTCCTACAATATGTGAGGTGAGATCTTAGATCCCATTGGTGGGTTAAAAAAGTGATGTGAGTTCAGGGAGGGATGAAGGACAGAAGAGAGAAGGGAGGGAGGGAGAGAGGAAGGAAGGTTGTTTTCTTGCTTCACAACATTTTGATGCTCTCAACAGACTTTGAACCGTGTCTTCTCTTTACCTTTTCTCCTTCCAGTGCCCTCTCCTCTCTTACCTCTTTCTCTACACTGGTGTTGTCTTCCTGTTGAGTGTGTTGGTGTTTGAGGAGGCATCTTTACCCAAGGTGCCAGTTGCCCCTGCTACACCTGGCCCGGTCACTGTGACAGTGACCCCAGGGTCCTTGGGGAAAGTGTTGTGCAATTGCAAGAACCCGCCCCCACTACCAGTTGCGCCAGATGCAGTTGCTCCCGTTGATGTCGTTTCATTGGCACCACCGTAAAGTGAACTAACATTGGCTTTGGAGGGGTCCCTTGACAGTGTGTACATGGAGATGTCGGTGGACGGGAAGCCCTTGAGGCCTACCGGTGAGGTTTCTCGGGACTGTGATGGTTCAGTAGAGCGGGAGCTGGAGCGCGACCGGCGGCGGTATCGGAAACGGTAGCTAGGAAGGCGCAAAATGGCAGAAGATGAGGAAGAAGGGTTCTTCAGGAGCTCCGTGCGACTCTTGCAATGGGCTTCACGGTTCTTCTCAATATAGATGTTAACTGCTAGAACCCCAATCATCTCAGCCAGAATGAAGGAAAGGCCACCAAAGTAAAAGGACCAGCCATAAGAATAGTGGCTCTTTTTCTCATCATCACGTTTTGTGCCAGGGTCCCCAGCATTGGCTGAGATGTAGACGATGACGCCAATTATGTTACTGAGACCTGAAGTATGGAAATAAAGAACAGTGACATTGGGGAGACTGCAGGATGTATAGATAAAGAAAGAGAAGGTTGATGAATGTAGATGACATGATATTCAAGAAATAGGAATGTTACAGAACAAAAGTATTAAGAAACGAAGTGATTATGTCTTATGCTGCCAAGGGTACAGACTAAAGCATCTCTCTAGGTTCTGCAAAGCAGGGCTCTGTTCCATGCAACGGCATTGGGCTGAAAACCCAAGCTCATCTCCATGTAACAGCTTCCAGAAATGTATCTAATACTTTCTTATTTCTTATCTCCCCATCATAGATAAGGAAAAAAAAATCCTGAAGGCTCAATGAGGAGATATTTTAGGCCAAGCCCAGCAGAGATTTCCTATCCGTCCCCTAGATTGGATGGTGGGCAAGGTTGTGCTCTTCAGACACATTTTAGAGAACTTCCATCAGCCTCAGCCAGCAGGACCAGAAATAAGGAATTATGGCAACTATAAACCAAAACTCATGGAGAGCATCAGCTTGTCTATCTTTTTCCTAGACAGCAAGGTTTCCAGTTAGTGGGATGACTCTAGTCCCTATATTCTGATCAAGAAGAAGAGCTACTGTACTTAGTTTACTGTTCAGAGTAGGATTCTGCTCCCCCTCCCCGTCTCTCCCTCTCTCTCGTTATTGTGGTTTTTCGGGCTGTTTGGCTGTGTTCTGGGATTGTCCCACACACTACACCAGAACACAGACAGAATTCTAGCTCCTGTCTTCTGAAGATGCCAGCTACAGAGACTGGTGAAATGTTAGGAAGAGAAACCTCCAGAACATGGCCAAACAGCCTGAGAAACCCACAATGGATCCCGGCCGTGAAAGCCTTCACGAACACAAAGTGCACTCTCTTTGAATGCTATGGTTTTACTTATCAGAACATAATAAAAATCATCTGGTCTGCAGCAGGTCTGAAAATTAGGTACATACAACCTCAGATGAACAACAACACATGACATTTTACACCGTGTCAGGAATTATTTGACAAAAATAAAGCCAAAATGGAGAAGCCAAGTGTGAAAAACTGATTACACCCCTACTGCTTTCCTAGGAATAAAGAAGCTAAGTAGCAGCCAGGTGTTGCTAACCAAATGTTCTTTAGTAATTGATCATCAGCAAGTGTGACCACCTCTATAAAAGCTGACATTTTAGCAGTTTGCTGGTCTGGAGCATTCAGGTGTGTGTTAACAAAATGCCAAGGAGGAAGCACATCAGCAGTTATCATACAGAAGCAATTGTTGCTGGCCGTCAATCTGGGAAGGGTTATAGGGCCATTTCCAAACAATTTAAAGTCCATCATTCTACAGTGAGGAAGATCATTCACAAATGGAAAGCAAAAAACCCAAGAGTTACATCTCAGACTTTATAGGCCTCAGCATGTTTAATATTAAAGTTAATGACAGTAATATTAAAAAAAGACTGAACAAGTATGGTTTGTTTGGAAGGGTTGCCAGGAGAAAACCTCTTTTCTCTTAAAAGACATGACAGCACAGCTTAGGTTTGCCAAGTTGCATCTGGACAAATCAGAAGACTTCTGGAACAGTGTCCTTTGGACAGATGAGACCAAAGTGGAGATGCCTGGCCATAATGCAGAGCACTACATTTGCCAAAAACCAAACACAGCATATCAGAACAAACACCTCATACCAAGTGTCAAGCATGGGTGGTGGAGATGATTTGGTCTTTTGCAGCCACAGGACCTGGGCACCTTGCAGTCATTGAATTGACCATAAACCCCTCTGTATACCAAAGTATTCTAGAGTCAAATGTGAGGTCATCTGTTCAACAGCTAAAGCTTGGCCAAAATTGGGTCATGCAACAAGACAATGAACCAAAGTAGAGATGCCTGGCCATAATGCACAGCACTACATTTGCCAAAAACCAAACACAACATATCAGCACAAACACCTCATACCAAGTGTCAAGCACGGGTGGTGGAGAAGTGATGATTTGGTCTTTTGCAGCCACAGGACCTGGGCACCTTGCAGTCATTGAATTGACCATAAACCCCTCTGTATACCATAGTATTCTAGAGTCAAATGTGAGGTCATCTGTTCAACAGCTAAAGCTTGGCCAAAATTGGGTCATGCAACAAGACAATGACCCCAAGCACACTAGCAAATCTACAATAGAATGGCTGAAAAAGAAAAGAATCAAGATGTTGCAATAACCCAAAGCTCAGACCTCAAGCTGATTGCAATGCTGTGGCTGGACCTTCAGAGAGCTGTGCGTAAACAAATGCCCTCAAGCCTCAATGAACTGAAGCAACATTGTAAAGAAGAGTGGGCCAAAATTCCTCCACAAGAATGTGAGAGACTGATAAAGTCATACAGAAAATGATTAGTTCAAATTATTGCTGCTAAAGGTGGTTCCACAAGCTATTGAATAATGTGTACTTATTTTTTCACACATGACTTCTCCATTTTGACGTTATTTTTGTTAGATAAACCTTGAAATGGTGCAATATGTCATGTGTTGTTGTTCATCTAAGGTTGTATTATTATTATTGGATTGTTTTGATTATGTACTGAGTAAAACCATAGAATTCAAAGAGGGTGTACTTAATTTTTCACATGACTGTAAATGAAGAAACTTTCAGATGGAGGAATTCATAGACATAAATGTAGAGGGTGTAAGGGGGATTAGAGTTGTTCTGGAAAAAAAAGAGGTATGATGGGTGAGTCAAGAAAAGATGATTGGAGATAGGCAAAAGCATGGCACATATGATGAATCTATGTAAGCATTAATCATATGGCACCTATGAAACCATCTCCTTTATATTGTGCTGGGCCATTGCTCCATTTCACTCACTAGCACAGACCTGGCAAAGTGCAGTCCGAGGGCCACATATGGCCCGCAAGCTGCTGTCTGACCCGCGGACAGTGTTGAACATCAAAACCATTTATAGCTTTTTGTCTAAAGTTGATCAGTTGCTTATCTTTAATATACCGCAACTAATCAACTTTAGACAAAAGTCTAATACTCTTTAGTATTTGTGAAGATTAACAAGTTTAAAATAAAAACAGTCATAACATCACTGTTTAATTATATTTTTAAGTAAAGTTGGTTCGTCCCCCGAACACAGTTCAGATTTTTCGTGTGCCCCCCCTGTAGAAATTAATTGCCCACCCCTGCATTAGCAGCAGATCCGAGCTAGATTAAGAGACTCACTCAGTGGTTTTTGACAGCTAGAAGAGGTTTCTTCAATGGGCATCATCTGGTACCTACTGAGCTAAGATGCACTAAGGACTCTAGCAGAGATTTCCCCAGACGTGCTAGCTAGGATACTGTAAGTGAAGATGCCAGGGACTTGGTATTTTCTATATTCCAAGCATCTGCTCCTACATAAAGCTATAACCAATTCTAGAAACACTTAGAGGGTAGTCTATAAAGTATAACATATAGAAAGAAATGGATCATCAGGTAAATGGTTGAAGATGTGGTGCATGAAGCATTAAAAAGAGGCCAATGGGCAGGCAGAAGAACAGATTGGAAGATAATTATAAAAATTCCTCTTTTACTGAAATGGCCAACAAATCAAACTATTGGCAAATATATTTAGCCATACCTAAGGGATTCTTTTGGTTTCTGTCGTACAACTCACCCGCAGCAACAAACAGGATACCAGCACCGAGGATGATGTTGCGCTTTGACTTGTAGACACGGCTTGCAGCCACACAAAATCCTCCCAGTAGCAGTAAGATAGCACTTAGAATAGGAAAGATGCTTGAGGCTCGTACCACACCTGTAGGGCAGAAGGAAGTTGGAAATTATAAAACAGGAATGGCAAATGTCTAAGAAAAGAGCTTTTCTTTGCTCATAGAAGATTAGATAGGCGAGTAGACCAGATAGGTGGGGTATAAATCAAATCAAATCAATCAATAAATAAATTATTCAGACAGATAGATTTGGATTACTCTTTCTTCTACTCTTCCTTCTACATTTCTCTGCAGATTTTTAAAATCAGGCATAAAGAAGTCTTAAAGCATGGACTCTGTACTTGCACTGTGCCACACTGCAGTCCAGTAACAAGTACACTGCATGACTTATACTGATAGCATGTTTTAAACTTTCATGTTCATGGTCCCCTCAAAACTTGGCAGCGAGGAGTTACTAGCAAGGATCTGTAACAGATCACCCTTGGAAGATATCACTGAAATAAGCTTAAAATATGAAACTCTCCACGCTCAAAACATTTCCTGTTGTATCAGAATTGGCAAACTGGTTTTTGTTTTTGCTCTCGCATATCAAGAATGTAGAAGAAGTTGGAAAACGTGGAATGGCAGTGGTGGTGGCAGGCGTGGGATGAGAGCGGGGGCAGAAGGTTAAAAATATTAGTTAGCTCCCATCTTAATGAGATCCCTAATAAGACTATGAAAGTCCAGGGTCTAAAATTATCTAGCGGCACCACAGCTCTTTCTGAGGCAATTTCTGCTGTTGGTTTTCTGCTGTCAAAAACTAGTGCTGTCTCTTCTTTCCTCCCCCTGTCCCAGCTTCACTTAAACAAACAAAGAAATGTTTAAATTCTGACAATTTCTTTTTAGTGAAATGGTACAGCAGCAGCTCAAATCTTTGCTTCAGAGATGCTGAGAATAGGAAATGTGGTGTGTATATTCATTGTCTGTGTGCACATGGGCCTACATATGTGTACATATCTGTGTTTGTGTGTAGTTAGTGCCAGTTGAGGGTTGATAATAACTGTGGGAAATAGGCAGATAGGGAAAAACTATAACCATGGGGAGAGAAGGGGGAAGAGACATGAGAATCAGATTGTAACTCATCCCTCAGCCAGTCTGCCTCCACAAGGATTTGGAGGAGCTAAGAGGGAGTGAGGAAAGGAGGATAGTCAGTGTGGATGACTGACAACTGCAGAAGGAGCAACTTTGGTGCTGCCTCCTGTCTGTTAATAAAGAAAGAGGGAGGTGAATTTGCAGAATGTCAATCCCTTGCTTGGTAGCTGGTGGTGGGAGCTGAACATTTCCCTCACACAGCCTGTTAAAAATCTCTCTTATTCTTTCTCTCAATGTGTGTGTGTGTGTTTTGGAGAGACAGACAACACCTTGGTGTTTTCTTTTTGAGAAGGAAGAGAGAAGGAATCATGTTGTCACTGTGGATGCAACACAGCATGATATGGACACATAAAAAGTACAATATTTCTTTAAAGAGTGGAATGTCAAACTGCTGTTCCTGTGGAAGTTAAGAGCAGAAGAGCATGATGCTAAGCAGCGACAGCCTGTGACCAGGGCTACCTGAAACTTTGGAGTAAAGCATATGTGTGCGCACATGCACGCACGCACATGTACGTTCTGGTCCACAGGTCCCACAATGCTAAGTAGGCTTCTGCCAGGCAGCTTCAGAATCAAGAACTGTTCCTCTGAAAAAAGCTCTGGTTCTATTTGAGCATGAGACATTATGCTTAACACTTAGCGAGCAAGGACATCAGTGTTGTTTTTTAAAATAACACTCAGCACAAGGAAGGGTTCCATAATTTGATTTAGGGAATAAAGCTTCCATGGCATCAACAAAGAGGGATTCTCAAATCAAGCTAATGTTTTTAAAAGAAACCTGTCAATGAAATGTTTGAAAGCTTCTATTTTAAACTCTGAATATTTTGAAAGCAGAGTGGCAAAAAATTAATCCATTGAGAACATGAGGTTAGGGGGTTTTGCCCTTCCAGTGGACAGAGCTAGAGCAACACCATAATCTCTTTTCCTAACCTCCTCACCCACATATTTATCCTTTTATATTCAGCCATCCTTTCTCTATATTCCATTTTTCTTTGTCCTTTCCTTCCCCTTCCCTCTCTTTTCTCTCCCATCTCCTCCTCTTTATCTTCTTCCCATCCCAGCTCAACTACCTATGCCATAAAGCCTTGGCAAAGCCTTCCACAACTTGATGCCTCTAGCTTGCAATAGGGACTTGATACATTTAATTCTTGAAACATTTATTTTTAAATTTTCATTTATTAAACTTATATCCCACCCAACTAATGGTGAGCCAGCACTATTTTGAAAGTCTCCTCCCTATTGGGTTTGCTCTTGAGAGTGTTAGGGTATTTAAAGCATTTCAAGACTTTTAAATGAAAGTTTTACAAACTTGTAATGTGCAAATGCAGTGCTTTTTGTACAAATAACTCTTTTGTACAAAAGCACTGCATTTGCACAAAAACAAAAGGTCTGTAATATAAAATATAATGTTCTGGGCACAAAAGAACAATATTTTTTGTTCAAAATACAATTATTTGCCTATTGTTCCAGCTGCTGCAGTTGTTGCTGTCTTTTTGCTGTCATGTAGGAATACTCTCAAAAGGGACGTGGTGGCACTGCGGGTTAAACCGCATGAGGTTGACAGCCTTTTTTTGGTGGGGTGTCTTCTTGTATGGACAGTCATATGTGTTACATCCTTTAGCTCGTACTACACCTCATATCATCCCAACCCAGCATGGGCAGTGGCTATGCTGGCTAGGAGCAATGAAAAGTTGCAGCTGAAGATACCTGGAGGATACCTGGCAAGGAAAAACCGCACTGAAACATAATTAAAACAAACAAACCCTGAGCCAACTCTTGTTCACCACAACCCTGTAATTTGACCCTATCCCAAATTACTATCTCAATTTTTGCAGTTTGGGATATCTTATTAATTTGGATGCTTGTAAGAGTTGGCAAAATTGTCAATTACAAGAAGGAGCAGAGAACTTCATTCTGATGAGGGCCACATTTCCTTGCAAGATGATCTCTTGAGGGTCTCATACGGGTGGTGCTTGTGGCTGAAACCACTGGTAGATAGGACAGTTTATCACATTGCAGAATGTGAAGGTGCTCAGTGGGGGCAGGGCAGATATCTAAGTTTTATCCTCTCACATCACTTGTCACCTGTTCCTCTCTTTGCCCAAAGATTAACAGACACTTCTTGACCACTTCCAGAAGGTTTTTGATATTACTCAGAGGGATGCATACAATGAGACCAGGGCTACCTGTATGCTTAGAGCTACAAGTTGACCATGTGTGTCTACCACTTCAATTCACAATATATTATTGCCAGAGTAAGTAGAGCGTATTCCTCAAGTGTCCTGAGTATAAGAACTCTGTGTAACCAATATGTCGTTATTTTTCTCTGTAAAGATGTGGCAAGGAAGTGCCTTCAGTCAAAAAATGTAATATCTAGGAAGAAGATAATGAGAGTAGCATCTCACACTAACATTCAAAAAGACACATTCAATGGACTAAATCAAGGACATACATTGGCAATAAGACTGTCAGGGCAGGATTCTGGGGCACAGGTTCACAGTCTCAGTCAACAAAATAAATAAGATGGGTCCTCTGTTCCCACACAGAAGGCCTGGTTTACTCAATTTTAGGTTACCTGAAGTGATAGGTATTATCACTGAGTGATCCCTGCCCTTGTAAGACTACAACACCGTTACTCAACCTGGCCCCCTCCTGATGTGTTAAGACTGGAACAGCCACGATGCTCGGCCATCATCTGGAGATTATAGGTTGGGAAAGCTGAATGAACCACTGAAACCTGTGCTCTATATTCCTGAATTGAAATGTGATATCGACACACTTCCAGCCGGTTTTACAAATATGCAGTCTCTACCTTGCGACACTGCTTAACTTCAAATCCCAGAGTCTCAGCATTTGGCCAGGATGATCTTTAGACTTTTTTGTTCTTCCTTCTCTTCACTCCAAGCTCAGCAATGCTCAGCCTAAAGAAGAGTCCTGCAGTACTTCAACGTTTGCCTGTTTTGATATTTTAGTGGTCTAATTACCCATCTTTGTTTTTACATACTGTAACCAGGGTAGCGATTTGACAGACGCATGGACCGTGAAATAGGGATTGTGCCTGTTAAATAGGGACAGTAGAAACATATGAGACACAGTTCTGCAGTAGAAAAGTAGATTTATGTATGCCTGAATAACTTTGCAATTCTAACTCAGACAAATTAGAATAGATTTTTACATGGACAATGAAGAGAACTCTTTTGCCTCCAAGGCTAATGCTGATTCCAAAATTTGAGTTTCTGGGTCTCTGAACTGAAGATGGCAAAGACTACCTTGTTGCAGGCTTGCCATTTCTGGGGTTGTTTTTAAACAAGAGGAATGTGCAGTGCTTCCTTTTCTCATCTTCCTTCCTCTCCTTTGAAAAATGTCAGGAACATTTTGTCTGCATCATATAGATATACGATTGCCCATAGGCAACAGACTGAGAGAACTGATTCACAGATAGGTGAAGATCTGGAAGGACGAGGAAAAAAATGGCTAGAGCAGCTGCCAGAAATGATTTTAATTCATAAATCTTGGCTAGCCATCCTTTAATTAAAAAGAAGTGAGCAGAATGAAAAAAAAATGTTATGTTGAACTTTGTTTTCAGAATAAATTTAATAGTTTGTGTTATTTAAGGTAAAGAAACAAAGAGGCTGGCTTCAGATTTAGGTGCATGCAGTTGGGCAAGTAGAAGCAGACTTCCTCACAACCCTTCCCAATAGTTGCCCCTCAGTCCCCTGCAAATTCCTAGAGACAGCTGGAGAATGTGGCTGAATAGGGTATACGGGGAAGTGAGTCCTCCAAAATCATTTAAAGGCATTTTCTCTTTTTATAGCTCTTTTGCTAATGAAAGCAAGATCCCAGATCCAGATCAGAAGGTGCGTAGGCACTGTACCATAAAGATGAGGTGGTCATCTGATGGATTCTGGAGTCTCAGAACAGCAGGTAAATTAAATATAATTTAAATTAAAGATAAATAGTCACAGGATGATGATTATGTCATCTGACTTGCATGATATTAATATCCTGAGCAATATCCTGTTAGATTTTGTTTTGAAAAATGGGTATTCAATGGTGTTACTAGGTACAGAGCAGCCTTGAAACCTACTGAAAGGGGAAATGGCCGGCCCTATACAGATTTCTAGCACCACCAATTCATCTTTTTCACTGATTAAATAAAGCATGGTCATATACAGTGATGCCTCACTTAGCGACATTAATCTGTTCCAGGAAAAACGTCGCTAAGTGATTTAATCACTAAGCGATTTTAAAAAGCCCATAGGAAGGTATTAAAACGCATTTAATACGTTCCTATGGGCTTAGAAACCAACCTTAAGCGAAATTCCTCCATAGCGGCCGCCATTTTGGAAACCCCTCACAGCTCCAGCCTTGGCAGGGAGACTGACAGCCTCGGCAGGGAGACTGAGGCACCACTGGGGGCTTTTTCTCAAAGCCCCCTTTTTCGGCCAGCTGAGACTGACAGCCTCGGCAGGGAGACTGAGGCACCACTGGCCAAGAAATACCCTCTGTGCCTGCAGCAACCTTAAGCCCGGGCTTAAGGTTGCTGCAGGCACAGAGGGTATTTCTTGGCCAGTGGTGCCTCAGTCTCCCTGCCGAGGCTGTCAGTCTCCCTGCCAGCGCTTCCCCGCGATCATCCCAAAAATGGGGGCTTTGCGATGATCGCTTCCCTGCAATCATCGCAAAGCAAATTTTCCCCATAGGGGCTATCGCAAAGCGATCACTCTTGCAATGGCAAAAAGTCCATCACAAAGCGATTTCGTCGTAAAACGGATTGTGGTTTTGGTACCCACTGTTAGCCAGGAAGTAGGGGATTTATTAGATCAGCTAGGGGACGCCAGATACCTCTCACCAATCGATCTAACAAAGAGGTTCTGGCAGATGCCCCTAAGGGAGCAAGACAAGGAAAAAACTGCCTTTCCCACACTGATTGGCCTCTTCCAATTCTCAAAAATGCCTTTCAGTTTGCATGGAGCAGCTGCAACCTTCCAGCACCTTCTGGACCACATGTTAGCCTCAGTACAGGACTGTGCTGTGGTGTATATTGCTGACATTGTCATATATAGTTCTTCATGGGAAGACCACGTAACCTACTTACGTAGAGTGTTAAGGGACTTGAGGAGAGCAGGGTTGACTGCCAACCCAAAGGAATGTAAAATAGCTCTTCCTAAAGTGAAATATTTGGGGTTCACCATGGGAGGGGGTGTAATTCAACCTCTAGAGGGGAAGGTCACCAAAATAAACCAATGGTATCACCCCCATATCAAGAAGGAGGTGCAACAATTTCTTGGGCTGGTAAGGTATTATCGACAATTTGTGCTGCAGTTCTCCACTTTGGTAGCCCCCTTGACAGACCTTACTTGGAAAAGGGCTGGGAGATGGGTACGATGGGGGAGTCACAAAAGAAAGCATTCCAAACCCTCAAGTCCATCTTGTGTGAACTCCCAATGAGGTTTGCACCAGATTTCAATCTTCCCTTCACCCTCTTCACTGATGCTTCAGATATGGGTCTGGGGGCTGTACTGGCCCAGGAGCGTGAAGGTGTGGAATACCCTGTTTTATATTTGAGTCGAAAACTGACCCAGAGAGAAAGGAAATATGCAGTCATCGAGAAGGAGGCCCTAACAATTCACTGGACAACCCATTCCCTTAAGTATTACCTGTTGGGGACCCCTTTTACCTTGATCACAGACCACGCACCGTTAAAGTGGCTGGTGTGGATGAAGGATACCAACCCACTGACTCAGAGAGAAAGGAAATATGCAGTCATCAAGAAGGGGGCCCTAACAATTTGGTGGACAATCCATTCCCTTAAGTATTACCTGTTGGGGACCCCTTTTACCTTGATCACAGACCACGCACCGTTAAAGTGGCTGGTGTGGATGAAGGATACCAACCCAAGATTAACTCGTTGGCACCTAGCCCTTCAACCATTCTTCACAGTACAATATAATAAAGGAAGGGGCCATGCTATCGTGGATTATTTCTCTTGGCAAGGTCCCTGGGCAAAGAACGAGGCAGAATGGACGGCCCTCTCGGATGGGGGGGATGTAAGACTGATGGTGAAAGCAAGATTTCTCTCACAGGAGTGCCGTCCTTCCTGCCCTCTGCTGACAAAGAAGTGCAAACACCACCTATTCCCCCTCCCAGGAAGATAAGACCACCTGGAACAGACCCGGAGATCGTAGAAGAGAGGTTAAAAGGAATGACTGTCAGCGAAAGCGGGAATGTTTTGGCAGGAACAGAATGAGAGCCCCAGGTAGAGGTAGAGGCGGGGCTTGTAGATATAAAAAGGGAAGACTGGAACCTGCCTCATGGTTGGGAATGGATTCGGTTGGAAGATCTGTGGATGGGGAAGGTGGAAAAACTAAGAGTCCCAAAAGACTGGAACCTGCCTCATGGTTGGGAATGGATTTGGTTGGAAGATCTATGGACGGGGAAGGTGGAAAAACTAAGAGTCCCAAAGGAGTAGGCGGATGCAAGAGGGAGGAGTAAGAGTATCCCTAAACCATCCTATTCGGGAGAACGAGAGACAAAAGAGTGGAGAAGAAAGTTAAGGGAAGTGAAGGAAAAGGTGGAGCGTGAGAGGAAAGATTAGAATGGCGGATGATGCAGATACAGCAGAGAGGTCCCTTGGAAGACTTTGGCCAGAGGATTCCCCCTCACGAGACCAGGTCTGGACTGATGACCGTAATGAAGACACAATCCCTTTAGTGGAAGGGGAGGCAGGCCAGACTTTGAACTCAGACTTTGCTCTGGACTGGATGGGTCCCTGGAACACTCAGGAATGTAATCCCTTTAAGGCTGAAGACTGGAAGTCCCCATCTAACCAGTTGTTAGAGGGAGAAAATGGTTGGAATACCTTTGTTGACACAGGTTGTTAAACAATCCAATATCCTATTTCCAAACTGAAGAAGTCTGTCAATTTATTTGAAGAAAAATTTGGGCCTGAATCTGAACCCTCACACCAAACCTGTGCTAGGAGCTGCTTAGGGCTCATTTAGGTAGGGTGAGGCTCCATTCCTCTTTGTCAATGTCTATTTCACTCTGTTTCTGGTTCATTAGTTTCACATGGAAAATATCACTTTTTACTACAACTCCTAGAATCAGTTTTCATGCTAGCTGGGGGATTTTTGGATCCACCTTCTTTCAAAGCAATTTTTCAAAACTCTGGCTTCTCATATGTTTGTTTGTATACCTCTTTCATTGTCAATCTGTAGTTTAAAAAAATTGAACTGCATAGAAATACATTATTTTTTAAAACGGTTTCCCTGCAATACTTTTTAATATGCATTGTAAACTAAAATGTGAATTTTGTCCTAAAATGCATATTGCATTTGCATTTCAGTACATTCTTTGAACTCAGAACTGTACTGTAAAATTTGGAGAACTGCAAAAGCTGAATGACCCATATTGGAGTTTGAGAAGTGTGGATCAAGCCAGTTTGTTTGGAAATGCAGATGGAATGAAATCTAGCATCCTTAAGAGGCAGGAGTTCAGTGCAGAAGACTTTTAGTGTCCCTTTAAAATATGTGTTTTGATAGCAACTAATCCCAATTTGGATCTAGATGCAAAGTCCATCTGTTCTCCTTTAGGCAGCAGCTGATGGGTTTTTCCTGGAAATCACACAGAATGAGACCTGAGTGGATGTTTATTACCCAACTTGCACAGGGTCACACTCTCCTGAAGAGTCAAAGTCAATACACCCACCTATAGTGGGATCTTCAAATATTAGTGTTTCAATTTGAATTGTATTTTAATGATATAATTGGATTTAGTTCTCTTGTAATGTTTGTTATGCTATTGTATTTACATTTTCTGTTGTTTTAAACTCTTTTGTAAGCTGCCTTAGATCCCAACTCTGGGAGACAGGCCACATACATACATACATACATACATACATACATACATACATACATACATACATACATACATACATACATACATACATACATACATACATACATACATACATACATACATACATACCCAATGATGCTTTTTATCTGCTTTTCCTGAATCTGGCCTTAGTCACCCATGCTTTAGTTGCAAAGATGTACGGTACTTTACTGTGCTTTTTTGCTTTGAATACTGCCTTGTGACCGAGTGGTTAAACTGCAGTACTGCAGTGGTTACTGTATTTGCTGGCGTATAAGACTACTTTTTTGCCCTGAAAAGCATGCCTCCAAGTGGGGGGGTTATCTTATATGCCGGGTGCACTTCAGTTGGGATAGACATAGCTGCCCATAGTGGCCTTCTGATGCTCGCCCGGTGCCCATAGTAGCCTCCCGATGCCTGCCCATCTCATTCTACATACTGTCCAGTATCGCGCGGTATCCAGCGCGGCCACGGCGAGCATCAGCAGTGAGACCGGGGTGCCAGCCTTTTTGACGTGACCGGCCCATTCTGCTCGGTGGGAAGCAGTGGCGCTCCAGCCCGCCCCTTGTCTACGCAGAGCTCACACATGCGCACTTGCGCACTAGTGCTGGTCACAGGGAGATGCAGGGGTGGGCCAGAGGCGCTGCGGTCGTGCTGCAGCCGTACAATTGTGACAATGAATAGCACCTTTTATTTGGTGTGTGGAAGGTGTGCGGAAGAGGGGGTAGTCTTATACGGCGAGTATATAACAAACTCTATATTTTGAGTGGAAATGTTGGGGGGTCGTCTTATATGTCCATTCATCTTATACGCCGGCGAATATGGTAAATCTACTCATTACCCAGGTTCAGTCCCAGGTAACTGGCTGAAGGTCCACTCAGGCTTCCACCCTTCTGATGTCCATTAATTGAGCACCCAGCTGGTGGAGGGGTGGGGCAATGAGTAGACTGCATAATTAAATTGTAAACTGTTCAGAGAGTGCTTTAAGTGTTATGAGGTGGTATCCAAGCAGCAAGTTTATGCTTTTTTCCCCTTTTCTTTTCTTTTTTGCTGTACGATGAATTCCTTAATGTGCACTTTGGAACATAAAAAGGTTCAGATGATCAGCCTCTTCCACTTTCCTCTTGCACCTGGTGGTTTTATACATCTGAATAGGAATTCTGGATTCTGGCATTACTTGAATGTATAATCCTTTTATATAAGAATGACCTTCCTAGGCCTTAAGTTCTCATAGGGAGCACACAGACATCCTCTCTCTCTCTCTCTTAAATCTCTTTCTGACTGAGTGATGTGCTTTTAAAATCACTGATATCTGCAAACATATCCAGCAGGTCTGCTCATCTCTTCATCTGGAGGTATCACCTTTTCTCAAATGAGCTACTTAGGAGGTTTTACAGGTAGCAGCAATAAGGGTTGTTTGTTGCTGGTTTTGCATTACACATTTGAGGCAATTAAATCACTGCAGAACCATAATTTGGCTCTGCTCTGAAGACTAGTATGCATAATGATGATCCTTGCCGTGCATTTGGTATTCCCCTCAAGGTTGTGGGTGGGGACAAGAACCTGCTCTTCAGAACTGGGGTTTCTTAGAATTTTTGATGCAGATGTGTCCATTCTGCTGCTCTCTCTTTGCAACTTGCTGATAATCTCCAGCACCAAGAGGAGAGCGCATTCCCTCTCTGCAATATGACAGAGGAAACCCCAACACAGAAAAAGACTGCATCCCTTTTGCAAAAAGGACACGCCTTTCCATTTCAGCTGCAAGGAAACCACCAGGTTTGAGAGCTCCTGGACATGTAGGTGCAGCAGTCCTTCCCCCAATAAAACCTGGAGGCAGGTTCTGTGCCTCAGCCCCAGCAGCCTCTTGAACTGAGCCTTTAGTGGCATTCAAACGCTTGTTTCCCCTGGTAACAGAACAGTGGAGACACATTAGTGCCGAGACCAATGGATGGGAATGAATAAGCCCACTATTTATACATACGTAGGAGGTATTCTGCGCTGTCGTGATCGTAATCTGTGTCCTCAGGAAAATGGTTAATTTTCACGCACACCCCTCGCTTCAGCCCTGGGATGGAGAAAGATAGAAATCACCAGCATTTCAATTCGTTCAGCAGACATGACTTTTAAAGTTTGAACAGCATTCTGTTTGTGATTGTGAGCTTTCCGGAAGCAGTTTGTCTTGTCTCTTCTGGGACACAAAATACTGGATCTTTGGTCTGCTGCAACATTGCTTTCCTGATGCTTCTAATCATTGCATCTCCTGCTCTACCCCTTTACTCATATTGCATATTCTTCTCTTCTGCCTGCTGTGGCAGGCAGAAGTACTGTATTGTATGCCTCTTTGGCAGCAGGGCATTTTAGCATTCATCAATCAGGTATTTTGTGGTGGTTCCACATGCAGGACTTGAAACACACAGAAAGTCAGAAAGTTACTTCTCTATCTCTGTCATTCTGTATCTCTATCTCTAGCTAGCTAGCTAGCTAATTACAGTTACAGACCAGAATCCTCTTACGCCAACTACAGAACGTAACACTCTACCCAGGATGTTCTGCAGTCACAGTCCTGGCATCGGACACACTGTAGACCTCCTTGCACAAGCTTTGAAAAACCCCTGCTGGCTGCCCAACAGGGTGTTGTGTGAGAGCAAGAAGACATTTAGGATTTTTGCTGCAGCTGTCCTCCACCACCACCACCACCCGGTGTAATCTACAAAGAGAGTTGCAGTTCTAAAAATTAACTTTTTTACTTTGGTGTTTTAGGAAGATAACTGAAATACCTGTGTTTAGTAATTCTGGAGAGTTGAATTCAATGGTACAAGCTCCTGTTCTATGAGATAACACCTACTTCCCTACTGTCACTTTGCTGTCGTCTCTAGACCAACATGAGGCAGTAGCATGAGGCACAGCACAAAGCCAGCACTTGAAACATGGTGATATTGAAAGATGTGATATTTCTCCCTTCACCATTTGGAGAGACCATGCCCTTGTAATTATAGCAGTAACTTTAAAAGTTATACCAATACTTTAAAAAGGAATGAATATGTCTCTTGCTACATGTAATCATATT